TTCATAGGGAACGATCCCATCATCTACAGGACGCTCGGCAACCGAACTCCGCTGAAGACGGACGCCTCCCTGGGATGGCTGCACTGTAAGTTTCCTTCCTTCATATCAGCCTTTCTTCACCTATTAAACATGGACGAACCCTTAAATAACTCGGGGCTCAGGTAACTGCCAATAAGCATGATACAGTTCACAGGGACATTAGCGGGGTGGTCAGTGGGAAGAATGCCCCTACATTGGGGGTCAGTGGGAAGTCTGTGGGGCGGTCGGTGGGTGTACCGCTCCTTGCATTGGGGGTCAGTGGGAAGAATGCTCCTTACATTGGGGGTCAGTGGGATGAATGTCCCTTACATTGGTGGTCAGTGGATAAAATGCTCCATACATTGGTGGTCAGAGGGAAGAATGTCCCTTACATTAGTGGTCAGTGGGAAGAATGCCCCTTACATTGGTGGTCAGTGGGAAGAATGTCCCTTACATTGGGGGTCAGAGGGAAGAATGTCCCTTACATTGGGGGTCAGAGGGAAGAATGTCCCTTACATTGGGGGTCAGAGGGAAGAATGTCCCTTACATTGGGGGTCAGAGGGAAGAATGTCCCTTACATTGGGGGTCAGAGGGAAGAATGTCCCTTACATTGGGGGTCAGAGGGAAGAATGTCCCTTACATTGGGGGTCAGAGGGAAGAATGTCCCTTACATTGGGGGTCAGAGGGAAGAATGTCCCTTACATTGGGGGTCAGTGGATAGAATGTCCCTTACATTGGTGGTCAGTGGGAAGAATGTCCCTTACATTGGGGGTCAGAGGGAAGAATGTCCCTTACATTGGGGGTCAGTGGGAAGAATGCCCCTACATTGGGGGTCAGTGGGAAGAATGTCCCTTACATTGGGGGTCAGTGGGAAGAATGTCTCTTACATTGGGGGTCAGTGGGAAGAATGCCCCTACATTGGGGGTCAGTGGGAAGAATGTCCCTTACATGCTCCATACATTGGTTCCTGAACATTTCTCTCTTGTCACAGCTGACACCGCCTTCGCGGGATCTTTTTACATCCCTGCCCCTGACTCTGGCGGGAAGGTCTACTTCTTCTTCGCTGAAACAGGCAAAGAGTTTGACTTCTTTGACAAGCTTATGGTTCCCCGCGTGGCCCGAGTCTGCAAGGTAAGATGCCGCCCCACCGCTATAAGAAAGAAAAAAACATTCCCGGCCGGTCACATCGGAATTTCCCTGCAAACTAGACGGGTTTTATTTCACCATGTGTTTGTTGAAAGGGGAAGATACAGCTGAACAACTTCATAGGTATGGAGACCTAGTGGGAGATCTTTAGACAGCAGGTGGGGCAGGAGGCGGGGCTGTGACACCCTAATAATTTCATAGTCATCCTTACACTTCAGTCCAGTGACTTTGGCTAGGTTAAGATGCCATCAGTCTGCTGCAGGCACTAGGAAGCATGTCCTTGCTCTTCCTGCAATAGACAAATCCTTGCTCTCTGTCCTTGTGCAGGGTGACTGGTCTGGTCTCCGCCCCCTCCTGTAATAAAGACAAGTCACTGCTCTCTCTCCTTGCCCAGGGGGACTGGTCTTGTCTCCGCCCCCCTCCTGTAATAAGGACCGGTCACTGCTGCTCTCTCTCCTGGTGCAGGGTGACTGGTCTTGTGTCCACCTCCTCCTGTAATAAAGACCGGTCACTGCTGCTCTCTCTCTCCTTTTGCAGGGTGGCTGGTCTGGTCTTCGCCCCCTTCTGTTGTGGGTGGGGCCTGCTTGCCGCCTCCCACAGCTCTGCGCAGGCTATGTACAGCACAGTGATGATGTCACTGTTACCTTTACAAGGTAATATCTGCAAAGGCATTTGGTGCACACAGAGTGGATTTTATATCCTTTTGAGGCTGTTGAGGAAAATATTTGAATCAAAGTTTTTTTTGCTCGGAGTTCATTGTTAAGTTGGGGGGTGCTCGTCCTCCAGACAATGTTCTGCGTTACAGAGCTTGCAGCAGACTCTAAAGCAGATATTGCCTGGGCCTCTGCCATGGCATCAGTTCAGCTGGAATCATACATAGCCTCAAGGTCTGGGCAGACTGATGAGGAAGCAGCGAGCCAGATACCGATAACCGATCATTATCTCTCCCGCAGGACGATGTCGGAGGAGATAAAATCTTACAGAAGAAATGGACCACCTTCCTGAAAGCACAGCTCGTCTGTTCCCACGCCAACAACTTTCCCTTCAATGTCCTGCATCACGTAGCGATCCTCAACTCGCAGGACCCCGAGCACAGCGTGTTCTACGGCGTCTTCAGCTCGCAGTGGTGAGTACCAGAGAGCAAAGCTCCACAGACGCTCCTCTCTACAGAGGCTGTGTCCTGTACTGTGCTCCTAAAGACAGATTTCACTGAGAAGTCTAGAATCCCATTTTCTTGATGGTACGGTACAGGGCACAGGCAAATCACAAACAACTGGGATATCCACAAGCAATAGAACAGGGGTGGGAAACGCAGCACCATAAACAGGCCCAAGAAGAGAAACCTGAACTGTAGACAGCAGCCTGAAGCATGTTCCGTGCAAAACTCGCATCAGCAGAGGCCTGAACATCCACCTAATAGAACTTAGAGAACGTATGACTAGAAGACCAGGTGACGGCCTTACAAATCTGTAACGTAGTTGGTGACCCGTCTGTTCCATCCCGAGGTGGTGGAGTAGACATGCACAATGACCCATCTGATCCATCTCGAGGTGGTGGAGTAGACATGCACCATGACCTGTCTGATCCATCTCGAGGTGGTGGAATAGACATGTACTATGACCTGTCTGATCCATCTCGAGGTGGTGGAATAGACATGTACTATGATCCGTCAGAATGAAGCTGTAACTGAGAGATCAACCCACACAGCCTGAACTATATCCGCACAGTGCAGAGAGACTTCCTTAAGATGTTTCAGGGCAGAACAAAAAGGAAGGAAGGATAATGTCTTCATTAAAAGAGAACTATGAGGTAAGTGTTTTTCCCCGTAGTTCTCTTAAGGGTCACGGGAGAACATATACTAGCGTCCTCCCGTGACCCAAAGCTCAGTATATCGCGAGCTACAGCTCACGGTATACTGAGACCGCCGCAGCCGGGACGGATCCCGACATTACTGTCGAGATCCGCCCAGCTGCGTGAGTGACAGCTGGCTCTGCCTATCTAGAGGCAAAGCCAGCTGTACCCGCCCTCTCCCCCATCCGTTCCTCCAGTCAGCTCTGGAGCGGGGGAATCCCTGTGGGTGGCAATGACTGACAGTCTCTGCTCTCTGCAGGGAGATGATCGAGAAGTGAGCGACGGTATGTGTTCACTCACTTCCCGATCTATTGAGCCGACGTGTGACAGTTTAATTGTCACACGTCGGCTTGAACTATGAGGATGAGTGATTTTCTGGAGACATGAAAGTACCAGATTGAGATTCCACTGCATCACTGGAGGGGCTACGTGAAGAACTTTCTGGGCAAAAACCTTAATCAGGGAATGAGAGTCCAAAGGCCATTGAAAAAGAATGACCAGGGGCAATATCTGGCCCATGAGTGTACTCTGGGCCAAATGTTGATTCAGTTGGGGCAAAGACTCCTCCACCAGTAGCATCAGACATTCTAGGGAAGGGTGGAAGGCCCACCCACCCTTGGTTTCACTCACTTCAGAAGAGCATACTACCTAAGGGGTCTTCAGGGATGGGGTCACACCAGTGCGGATACGCCACTGCCTTGGACCTGTAGAGCACCCTGTGACTCACCCAGTTCACCAAGGATGGCACCTAACGCAGGTTTCAGTGCCCGAAGCAACATTACAGGCCAACTCTGTGTCTTTTGTCCATCGGGGTCTGGGGCCAAAAGCTGCTGCCATGGGTCACCTATCCAGAAGCTGTGAGGTTGCCACTATGGCTGGCCACAGCCAGAAGATCTTGATTGAACAAACGCAGAACCCAAGATAACTGAACTACACACCTCTCCCTCAGTAGAGAGGAGACATCCAGCACCTCAGGACAATAGCAAAAAACGAAGGATTACCCGGAGTGGGAGGGGTTATAGGAAGGTCCCCACAGCTCTGGCCATTGCCAAATCACCTGATACCTGGATACTGCCCAGTTGTCTCTGAATCTGCCTGTGTCCTGTCTTTGTTTCCATTCACCATCTATCGTTGAAGAGTAATGATAATCTCTAGTCTGTGTTCCGCTCGCTCTCCATACATTATCAGATCAATGATTACACTTGCTGAACCCCGGGCCCGGCCATATGTTATCAAGCAGTCAATATGCTGTACAGGAATCCATTGGGAACAAGCAAATGATATATAAGGAGCTGATGAAAGGACCAGCTCGCCGTTATACTGATCAATAATGATTTGTAAGGTCCAATAACAGGGGGTATCAGCCAATGTGTTCTCCCCGCATTTGCCTTTATATTACTGTGCACCAGTTGAAAGCAGAAATTCGGCAGTGTCTGCTCTGTAAATGGATGGACTGGCCAGGAAAGGGGCTTGGGTGGGATTACAGAAAGGAGAAAGCTCAGGGTGAGAGGTAGACTGGAATACAAACAAGGTGGCACACCAGTGGCCAAGAACAAGCTGGAGGGAGGGTGGAGAAAAGGCCAAGAACAAGCAGGAGGATGAGGATGGGTGGAGCAGGGGCCAAGAACAAGCAGGAGGATGAGGATGGGTGGAGCAGGGGCCAAGAACAAGCAGGAGGATGACAGGTGGGGCAGGGGCCAAGAACAAGGAGGATGATGGGTGGGGCACAGGCCAAGAACAAGGAGGATGATGGGTGGGGCAGGGGCCAAAAACAAGCAGGAGGATGACAGGTGGAGCAGGGGCCAAGAACAAGCAGGAGGATGTTGGGTAGAACAGGGGCCAAGAACAAGCAAGAGGATGATGGGAGGAGTAGTGACCAAGAAAAAGCAAGAGGATGGCAGGTGGGGCAGGGGCCAAGAACAAGCAGGAGGATGATGGGTGGAGCAGTGACCAAGAACAAGCAGGAGGATGACAGGTGGAGCAGGGGCCAAGAACAAGGAGGATGATGGGTGGGGCAGGGGCCAAAAACAAGCAGGAGGATGACAGGTGGAGCAGGGGCTAAGAACAAGGAGGATGATGGGTGGGGCAGGGGCCAAAAACAAGCAGGAGGATGACAGGTGGAGCAGGGGCCAAGAAAAAGCAGGCGGATGATGGGTGGGGCAGGGGCCAAGAACATGCAGGAGGATGACAGGTGGAGCAGGGGCCTAGATCAAGCAGAGAGGGCAGAAAAGTAGACAAAACCAAGTGGGGGCCGGGGGTGGGGTTGTTACAGTGGCCAAGAGCAGGTGGGGGGAAGAAGAGCAAGCCAAGAACAATTTGAAGGGGTGGGAGGGAGATGGTGGAGCAGTGGTCAAGAACAGTCAGGGGGCAGTGACCATGGAGTATGTAAGGCTTGAGAAGTGTTGTCACCCAGGTTATGCGGGTCATGGGAAGGTGTGTTTAGTGATGCACATGGTTCGGTAGACATAACCGTTCTTATGGTATACATGTGATCCTCCTGTGTATTTAGCTGTTCGGCCAGCATTGTTGTTTCATCACCCCAGCCCTGTGTGACGTTTTTGTCACGTAACCCTCTTATCCGTTCCCCACAGGCAGTCAAGCGGCTCCAGCAGTTCCGCCATTTGCTCCTTCAAGCTCGCGGACATCGAGGCGGCTTTCAATGGCAACTACAAGGAGCAAAACAAAGAGAGCTCAAAGTGGACCAGATACAATGGACACGTGTCCAATCCGCGGCCGGGCAGTGTAAGTACATAGGGCCCATACCACCTTATCTATCAGCTGCATTAGTGTTTGTGGACTCTAGTACCCCGGGCAGCCACAAGGTGGCAGCGCACAGACTCTTCTTACACTATTGTTGGCCAATTGGATTATTTGTATTGCCCCAGTAGGACGTTGCCACACCCAGAATTCTGAATTCAAGTCTCTGTGCCCGTTCCAGACGGTTGGTGGCATGAGGAATTCATGTCAATAAAAATGGCGCACGGCTTTGAAATATTAATGTAAACTTTCTCTAACCCCTTCTTAGTGCTCATCGGGGAAGTTCTCAGACACAGTGCTCAATTTCATGAAAGACCACTACCTGATGGACGACAAGGTTTACCCAGTCGGCAAAAATCCACTCCTGATCCAACGGAGCGCCAACTACACCCACATCGCCATAGATTCTGTGCCAGCACTATCGGGAGGCAATTACACCGTGATGTACCTGGGCACAGGTAAGTCAGATCTTTTTCATGTGTTATGCTGCCCCCTAATGCCGACATGTGGTGTTATGCTGCCCTCTGCTGGTCACGTGTGGTATTGCGGTGATCCCTATTACAATGCACTGGATCATTGTGATGCTGCACTCTCCTGGTCCTCCTTTTGGTAATACAGGGACCGGTCCATGTCTGCCCAAACAACCTAACTTGCACTATATTACCAAAAGTATTGGGACGCCCCTCCAAATCATTGGATTCAGGTGTTCCGTGACATTTCCTTGCTACTAAATATTCCGTGGTCACCTGTTACTGGTATTATAACAAAGTGGAAGCAACTGGGAACAACAGCAACTCAGACAGGAAGTGGTAGGCCACGTAAAATGACAGAGCGGGGTCAGCGCATGCTGAAGCGCACAGTGCACAGAAGTCGCCAACTGTCTGCAGAGCCAATAGCTACAGACCTCCAAACTTCATGTGGCCTTCAGATTGGCACAACAACATTGCGTAGAGAGCTTCATGGAATGGGTTTCCATGGCCGAGCAGCTGCATCCAAGCCTTACATCACCAAGTGCAATGCAAAGCGTGGGATGCCGCGGTGTAAAGCACGCCGCCACTGGACTCTAGAGAAGTGGAGACGTGTTCTCTGGAGTGACCAATCACGCTTCTCTGTCTGGTGATGGACGTGTCTGGGTTTGCCGGTTGCCCCAGGAGAACGGTACTTGCCAGACTGCATTGTGCCAAGTGTAAAGTTTGGTGGAGGGGGGATTATGGTGTGGGGTTGTTTTTCAGGGGTTGGGCTT